TGATATGCGTCGAATCCTGAGGACGCTCAAGACTCACAGTCATCTCTCGAATGGTGCTATGGTCAAATGCGAATGATTTTGGCAGCTTGCTCGGATCACACGACATCGGATCCGAGCACCGAGATTTAGCCTTGTGGAGCCCAGACACCAGCCCTCGGTGAATCATCGCGCTTCGAAGCGAGTCGAGTCCATGCTCAGAGAGTGGAGTTGACAGCTCGAGACTCTCCAAGTCCAAAACGCGCGCGACGGTGACGTGAACGAAGGTTTTCAGGGCTCCGCGCGAAAGGTTCGTAGGGGCTGTGAGATTGTCTTCGTCATTCCTGGACTCCGAATACAAGGCTGCGATCTCCTTTTTGTACAGTTCTACCGCACGTTTGCGTTGAACTGTGCCCTTCTCCGAGACCGGTAGCGGCTTCGTGCGCTCTGTGAGCATCACGTTCGCGGCCTACACATGGTACGCCGGTAAGCGCAGAGAATGCTTGAACTCGAGCATTCGCATTCACTCACAAAGATCTGCGCATAGGCGGGGGCTTTGGCATTGGCTTTCTTGACGATAGGCCACACCGCTTGGCGAAATTCGTCCAACGACTTGTCTCGATAAGCTTTCCGCGGCTCAATTAGCACGCTTGCATGAGAGTAGCCTTCGCCGACGACGACAGCTCGCAGCACCCAAGGATGGCTGCTGAGAGCCATCTCTAAAGGCGTTGTCGCTACATTCTCGCCATTTGCCAGGATTACCTGGGTGAAAGGCAGGCGCATGTGTCAGCGTTGGGCACGATCAGGCTGGTGACGCAACCCCGAGGCTCACCATATCGCTCTTGCGTCCATGAACGCGGATAGCGTTTGGCCATGTGGGATGCTTCTCGACAAGATCGCCAGTGTGAGTCTTGCCTGGTGCAGTCTCGCTGATGACGCTGCATGCTGGTGTGCTCTTAACGACGAGCTCGTACAGCTGCGGACCGGCGTCTTCCAGAGGAAACGCCTCGAATTCATAGTCCATATCTGAGCGCAACACGATCCATCGTCCATCGAGCGCTTCCTGCCCAGGAGGCGGGATATCGTGCGAGTGGCCAAGCGATGTCTGTACACAGGTCACGGCGACCATATCTGTCAGCTGCGAGGTCCTGTGAAAGGCATACGCAGACTGTACCTACAGTCTCGGTCAGGCCATACGTGACCAAAGAGGTAGCACCCGCTTCAAGCATACGAGAGTAAGTAGCGTCTGACATTGGCGCGCCGCCCCACCACACCGTAAGACCACTGAGGACATCGCGGGTCTTGATATCGGACGCCAAGTCGTCGACGAGAGAAGGAACCAAGATGGCTGCCTTGCAACCAGCACTGCGAATGTGCTCCGCGATTGATTCTGGCGTCGGAACGAAATCTGCTGCTGGTACAGCTGGCTTCAATCCCGCCAAGAGCGCTGCGGAACAGAAAGTACTTCCAAAAGTCAGCTATGAAGGTAGGTACTTTTCGCTTTCAGGGCCTGTCACGCACATCCGAGTGGGCCTGCGAGCCAGCCCATGGCCTGGAAGCACAGTGTTATGTTAGTGGGATCACGAGTACGCCGCAGCAGCTCGACACTCACGTGAAAAAGAGGTAAAGAGTTGAAAATGGCGAGGCCTCTCTTGTCCGACGTGGTTGCCGCATCGTTGGGATGAGCGATGACCAGACCGTGATTCAAGATATCCTTGTGGGAGTGCGGGCACAGCTTTGGGGTGCCCGTACTGCCGCTGCTATGCAGAATGATGCAGGTCTTGTGAACCTCGTTGTCGTGGCTCTGCTCGTATGGAAAGTGACCAAATCTGTTGCTGGCAGCGGTGATACCTTCGATTGAGGGAAGCTGAAGCGTTTTGCACGAAGACACTTGTCGCACACGCTCGGCGAGTGCTCGATGCTTGGGAGAGAAGAACAAGCATTGAGCATTGCTGGACGACAGCAGAGCAATGATCGTCTCTGGAGGACAGCGTGGTGAAAGCATGAGAACCTGTGAAATAAGAGCGGATCAGATCAGCACTTGTGTTGAAGGTTGACTTCGGCCTGATTACCTGCCCGACTCACAGCACATCCCCGTTTGATGGCGCCCAGAATTCCTACTACCGAGGCCAAGTCGCTTCCTGTGAGCATAGCCAGGACTGGAGGCTCCGCGCTGTCTCGACGATGGGGCACATCAAGGTCTCCCAACGCCCATGCCGCACCCGATACGAGGGCTGCGAAGGTTGCGTGAGTGGTGGTGACCCATCGACCATCTGAGTTTCGGTCTATGCGGAAAGGCTGGGACGCATTGACCTGAGCCGAATGGTCGATGAGCGTGGGTAGTAGGTAAGAGGCCCCAACGACTTGCGGCTTGATGAACGACATGCTAGGCACGCGAGTTTTGAGCAACCGAGGCTGACTCTGAAAAGTGTTGTAGATGGACTGGCTGCTCGCCTGTATGCTGCTAGCTCTGGGCCGATTGATGGAAGGGGATGCGCTGACCGCGACTCAGTGCTGTTCGATGTGACCAAATGAGGGTTGGACCAAGAATGACATCGGCAGTTGTGTGAATGAAGGTTGCTGATCTCTGTGAGCGCCTCGGACGAGCTCCTTATGTAGATGCAAGGCTGATTGGCCCTGCGAGCACCCACATGGTGACTTGCTGCACCTCGTCAGCCTGACAAGCTGCGCTTGCGAAAAAAGTCGAGTCCGGTCGCCATGTCTAGTGAAGGCTGGGCGACCGAGAGTGTCATTGGCTCTGAGAAG